CTTTAGTTTACTTCACAATTCGCACTTCAGTTTGCAGTTCGGTTAATGTGAAACTCAGCGTGGAATATGAAAAAAGGCTTCGTTCATGTTTTGTTAATTCTACAATATGTGTGGCCAGGCAGCGCGAGTTTCTCAGAGTTGAATAATTGTAAGTTAAATTTTTATATGAAAGAGATGAAATAAGTATAACTATGTTTTAACATGGTTAAATGTACCTAATTAAAATGAATCCATTTCGTAAACAATAATATTAAACAGGCTAATAAACGATTCATTCAACTTAAATAAATATGTGTAGACGGTGAAAAAAAAGTGAAGTCAATTTTAATCTCATAACTAATTAGAATTTTCTGTTGAAGTTAAAACGGGGGATCGTTTAATTTAAAAATAAAATAACTAAATTGTTTGAAAACTATTTACGTTACTTAAGTTGCTTTCATTTGTTAATTTTAAATCGATGGAAGCAGCGTTCGAAATCTGTCAGGAATACATTTTTTATATTAGTGTTGAATATACCACATTCGCATTTACATATCTACATATCATAAGCACATGTAATTTTATTCAATGCTATCACAGAGAGGCAGGCAACAATTTCACTTAAATGTATACAATAAACCTACTTTGCTTTGAGAATCGCATAGAGAGGTAACAGCAGGAAAGCTGGAGGCAGATAAAAGAAATACAGAGAAAAATAACAACGGAAGAGATAAAAGAAGGTGTCATTTAAAGAGAGGAAGAGATAGATGAGGGAATCTTTTCATTCATTTCTTTACAACATGATTTGATCTAAATCAAGCCTGACTTAAAGTCATGAGAATCGCATAGAAAGCCAATATATACTCTCAAAATTCGCCTTTTGAGTCCGATAAATTTGAACCGACTGTCCAAAATGCCTACCACAAAATATTCAACAATCGTGAGCAATATGCAAGCATAAAAGTTGTCTGTCTACAGAATTTTCAGGTGTTCAGCTAATTGAGAACATTAAACCTGCAAAATAGCTACCAAAAATGCTAACGAACTACCATAAGAAAAAAAAAACATAGTTAAAACAACAACAAAAATACGGCTGGCGGTACTAACGAGCGGAAGTCCAACGGTTCCCTAAGTGAATAAACTGTGGCCAACATGTATCGCAGTGAAGAGGCAGCCCAACACCAACAGCAACGGCGAGCGACTTCCGTTTCGCTGGGTCTACAAGCCCGCCGAAAAATAAGGGAAAAAAGGCGAGAAAGGGGAAAGCTTGGGCTGGTAAAGCCCGAACATAAAAACGAAAAAACAATGCAATTTTACTTAGGTTGGCAGCAAGAATTGATAAATATATCAGAAATTGTTGCTTAAATCAATGTGTCAAGAGCTGAAAATGCAAATAAACATAGAAAATATTGGCAGGCTCGCCGATGCACGATAAGAGGAAGAAGATACGGCTGATGGTTGCCGGGCAGGAGGCGGGGCAAGTACTCGACTGCAGACAAACAAAGCGGAAAGGCGACGCTTTTTTCGACTTCCCATGGCACTTTGGTGTTTTTTCAAGTATTTTCTTATTTTTTTTTTATGTTTAATATTGTATTTTTCTTGTTGAGGTAGTGTACAGGGTTGTTGAGGGTTTGGAATAGGGGATAGCTCGACCAACTGCAGCGTTTTGGCAGACATTGCGTGCGCTGACGTATTTCGTTATGCGATTTCCTCGCTTGCATTTCACCAAAATGCCAGGCAGCTGGAGTGTCTAACAGACAGGACATTCACTTTCCGTTTCAAGTTCAACGGTGTGAGAGGCATGCAGTCGCAAACCTGGCCAGCAGCTAGTTGGCAACCTGCGGTGTCTGCTGTTGTGTACGACCAGCCATTGATAAATCGCACAGCAACGACGTGTAAATAAAACAAATTAAAATTGAAAACGTAAACGAAAATGAAAAGGAAAATAAACACAATATTCGCACTTGAGCAAATCAAATAAAATTAATTACAAATCAATTTACTAGTTTAATATCAATGTGACTTAAATTTACTACTCGGTTTTCTTTTAACAACAATAAAAGCCATAAATAATGGAATAAAAATAATAATACAATAAAGAAAATAAATATGGATAACAATTCGTTATTTGGTGGTGTTAATAAATAAAACAAAATAAAATTAATAATAAAATAATAATAAAATAAAATATTTTTAATGTCTCTGAAACACAAAAGTATAAAAGTATATCCGGCAACTTTTATCAAATTTGTTTAATATTTGTGTAAAATAATAATTCATACAAAAATATGTTCATTTAATAGTAAAGAATACAAATTTAAATATTTTTATGTGTCAAATAAGTTTGAACCTCTTCAATAGATCTGAGACATATAAAACAAAATCCCAGCAAAAATACAAAGCTGCGTATATATGCAGAAAAAATTAAAAGAATATTCAATCAATTTCAGACTTAAGAAAACTTGTTATAAGAGAGAAATTAATGTACATAGGGTTTTCTATTTTTTGCTGTCAGAAAAATGTACCTTAAACTAGTTTTAGCTAAATACATAAAACACATATTGTGCACATAATTATTCGAAAAATATTTGCAATTTCTTTCTTCGTACTTTCTTCGTTTTTAGCTTCGTTTCTTTGCTGTAAAAGCCAAACCAACAAAACATTTTGTAATCTACCAGCCGTAAAGTTAGCCGCCAAACTTTGCCAGACATAAAATGCGCATACATACATAGGTGTGCGTGTGTGTGCGTGTGTGTGTGTGTGTGTTTGAATGCGAGTTAATATGGTAAAAACTGTTTAGACGCTGGAATGTTTCAATATGCAAACATGCAATAGCCAAATTGCAATAACAACAGCCCGAAACGGTCCAAACAATGGGCGTCTTTGGTCGCCAGTTGAACAATTGGGGCCGAGCCGAGCAACGTTTGCCCCGCACACAAACATAATCGCAAATTATAGGCTATATGGCATGGCCTAGGCTCCCTTGAAACTAGTTGGCAACGCACACAAGCACACACACTCACACACACACACTCACACACACACCCACACTGCAAAATGGGCAAATAAAAAGGTAGCGCACTTATTTGCCGCCGTTTTACATTTTTCCAGGTATTGTCGGGAGACTCTCTCTCTCTTTCTCTCTCACCCTCTCTGTCTCATTCTCAATTTGCCGTCTTACTCTCTTCCAGCTTTTACATTTTTTTTTTTGTGCATTTTTTCGGGTTATTATTTGGTCATAATTGTAATTTAGGTATTTGCTGTGTGAGGCGTCGACGAGCCGCAAAATCATGCTACTTGTTAGGCATGTGATGTGATTTTTTACGGCTACCCATTTTGTGGGCGTGATGCTTTGCCGTTATGGCCGTCAAGTTGACGCCACAGTTTGTGGGTCCGTTCTAACGAGTTGAATGCGGGCGGCTGCCCTTAAATTATCAGTTAGCCTCAAATGCGACGCCAAAGTTCCATAAAGTTGACGCTCTTAACTTTCTATGATATTTGAAAAAATTGTATACCAAGAATTGCAGGCAAATGAGTGCAGTCATTCGTAATTATTTGATGCGACAATTCTTTGACACTTTTCGATTAGTTAAAAGTTTTTATTTCATTTTAATATTTATTTATTATAATTGGTATCGAAATAACTTCTAGTCTTTTATATTTACAATAAGTATATATATGTTAAATAGTAAGAAATGCAGAACTTAAATAAAATAAAATGAATAAATAGAATTTTTGTCTAAATTTCCTAAAACAAATTTCAATATAGACTTTTCAGTGCATAAATTGCAATATTAATTTTTGATTATTATCATTCTATTTATATATTAAGCTTTCACGCAAACTTCCCCCAAAACAATATCGTGTTAAATGCCGCAATTTCAGATATAAATTTGAATTTATGGCAAAATAATAAACAAAAAAAAAAACGCAAAAACTGAGCAATTCAACTGCTTAGAATCTCGCACAGATGAGCTCTAAAATTTCAAAAATTCTTTGATTTAATATCTAAAAACTCAGCACAGTCAGACCCAAAAATACGCTAGCAAAGCAGCTGCAAATGCGCCACCACAAAGAAAATGAATCGCATCTAAAGAAATGTTTCGGACACATGACAAGTGCAAAGACCAAACTAGGAGAGGCTTATCATTTCGGCTGGGTCTTTCGTTCACCCTCAAAAGCTAATTTAACTAATTATTGGATTATTTGCCAGGCGCAGCATCTTTACATAATAAAATTTATGAGCGTGAAAAAGGGCAACAACAACATTCGCCATAGCTGGACGGGCATCTGGAAAAGTTTAAAGTATTTCTATTCTATTTGGGCTGTTGACATTTTGCAGGCACTTGCACAAATGTAAAAAAATAATTATCGCGCCCAACTGTGTGGATTAGATATGATAAATGAGAAGCTGACATTTTTTTTTAATCTTATTATGAAACGAAAGTAAATTGGGCTAAAATATGATATATTAAAATAACATATTCCTAATTGCTTAAAAAATCTTCGAGCTCATAAAAGTCCAAAGGCTTTACCTTGATTTATTTTATTAAACTACCTTTAAATACTATTAAATATTCAATTATATATAAGCATAAGCTAACCCATCTCCATTCAATTACCAAATGCCACATTCTGACATTTGTAAGCCCCATAAATCCCACCCTTTTACCAATCGGAATGCAGAGCTTCGTTATGCTAGCGCCATTTAACACCCTAATGGGGCAACATCGTAAATGTCAGGCACTTGCTCTAAGCCAACATTTTCTCTTTGCCAGCGGATCCGAAATTTAGTGGGCCCATTAACAATGTTACGGTGCCCGTGGGACGCGATGCGCTGCTCACCTGCATTGTGCACGATCTCGTTAGCTACAAGGTGGCCTGGCTGCGCGTGGACACCCAGACCATATTGAGCATACAGAATCATGTCATCACCAAGAATCATCGCATCGGCATCTCCCACACGGAGCATCGCATTTGGCAGCTGCGGATACGCGATGTACACGAATCGGATCGCGGCTGGTGAGTAAAATACGATTTATACACATGTTTCATATTCAAATATTAATTTAATCCTTGGCAATGTTCCAATGTATAAGCTTCGCCCAACTACTTTTTAAAGCCAATAATAATAATAAAATAGGTAATAAATCTGTATATATTATTCTCGAAGTTGCTTGTCAAATTTGCTGGCCCTAGCCTTGCAACCCAAAATATTTGCTAAATATATTGATTATCGGAAACATTCTCGTACTACACAGAAACAAGGATAATGTCTTATATCAACATACGGTCGGACACACTGCAGATGCTGACCGAGAGCAAAACCACTTTACAGAGTCAGGGATGCTTCCTACTGCCTGTTACATACATTTGCATTTTACTTTAAATAGGTTCAAGGTATACCAAAGGGTTGCAAAGCACATTATTGCCAGAACTATATATGTATATATCCAGGTTAAATTTACATTATTAATTCAATTTCGACCAACCAAAAAATAGAGTACTCTTATAATAAATGTAGCGCTATGATTAAATCTTTAAAGCAGTCGGCTTTATCATCATTAAAATGAGTTTGTAGTTAACATAATTGCCAATGCCATCATCAAAATGCCCAAATGGTGAATTGGGATTACTGAGAAACGAAATCGAGGAAAAACAGTGAAAACTGTTTTAGTAAAACATATCCTTTAAATGCTTTACCTGTCAAAGCAACGTTTGTTAAACCACCAACCTGACGAAGACAACGTAGCACAGCTCTGAGCACTGTCTTTGTCAGGTGTGAAAATCTACTGCCGCATTGCCAAATCCCTTACCATAATCTCTTCAGCCCCTATGGAAGCTAACACTGCCATTCAGGCGTCTCTGCACAACGATCCAGCCTGGCGCTGTGTGGCTGGCATCGCAAAGCTTCGTGGAGTCATCTGAGAGTGGGTCCTTGAGAGATTTAGTCTCCGGCCTTGTTGCTTGAGGTTTCTCAGTTTTAAGCTGGGTCTTTAGATCACTTACTTGCTTCTCTAGTTCAGACACTTCGGATTGCAGGCTTGCAATTTCCTCATTCTTCTTCTTACTTTCATAGCTTAACGTATTATTTTCAGCTTTTAACATATCCAACAAATGTTCATTACTCTTTTGCAGCGTTTCAATTAATTTGCTTTGATCTGTCAATTGTTTTTCCTTGCTCTCAATGATTTCAACTTTATTGTTAACCAATGTTCGCAGCGTTTCTTGCTCAGTTGTCAGGTTTCTCAAAATGACTTGATCGGAATTTTGGTTTTTTAATTTCGTTATTTGTGCCTCCTTTTCGAGCACATTCAATTGCAATTGATTAATTAGCTCGTTTTTTGTTGCTATCAAATCGTCCTTCATGGCATGTTGTGCTTGCTGAACAGTCATATTTATTATAGTCCGCTCTAGTTCATGGATCTTATTCTGTAGCTCCACAAATTGCTGTTCCTTGGAGTACACCTCGACTGCGTGCTGCAGCAGAGGCTGCACTATCTTATAGCAATACGTTCCGCATTGTGTTTCGATTTCATTTGATGAAGTGCAATGCTAAAATTCAACACAACACATTTGAGCATATTTGCCAGAAGAATTCTAATTACTTGTCAAACTCACCGACAATTGTTCTCTGCCATAATTGGTCTCAATTAGCACAAGCATTAATAACACTCGCATTTTATAGGTATTTAATGAGGCACTTTCCAAACGTTTTTCAGTTGAGCTCATTTGCAACTGAATTTGTCAATTCATTGAGCAAACCCTAAAAGCTTTTGATTAAAATTTCGCATTCAAATTCAGCTTTTATTACGCGATAATTTGTCTGTTATCAATAAATGGGGCTTTCTTTGACATTTGATCTTGATTGTAGAACAAGCAAAACGAACACTGAATACCCTTACAAGCAAACAAAATATTTATAATATACTTCCATATCTACATGATACAGTAAGTTTATGAAAGTTTTGATAAAGCAGGAACCTTCCTGTTAGCCAAAACAGCTGGCCAGTTTTTGGCCAAACAAACTAAAAAAAAAAACGAGAGAGTAAGCATATTTGAAGATCTTATACCTTTCTAGATATTTCCTGTTTGCAGATATGTGAGTATTGTAAAGCTCTTAAATAGTCGGTTTGAATAGCTATTTAGTTCGTTCCGATGGGAACTATATGATATATAGTAGTCCGATATGGCCGTATATAGAAAAACGGACCTATGCAAAGCTTCAAGATGAGAACCTTAAAACTAAGAGACTTGATCGCATCGAAACTCTGCTCCTGTACTGATCAGGAATGTATATACTTTTTGTTATACATTTATAAAAAGATTGTATATACATTTCATAAAAAGATCATTATACCCTCTACAAGGGTATACAAATATAAAAAAAATATATATATGAAATGAATGTTTGTCAAAATGATTATCAAGCATTAAATCCAAGCATACACAATATAGAATAATTAAAAGCTTAAGATCTGCCCCCTCCGGCCAACTAGCACCTCTTCCCACTCTGATTTTGCATATGAGGTTATTAGCTTCTAGAGCTATTCTTTATAGCAAACTAAAAATAATCTTATATAACTATTATGTGAAAATATATGAAATTAGAAAAGAAGAAAACATTTATTAATATGGGTAAAAAATTTGTTGTTAAATATAGAATATTATGTGGCTGGAGTAAAGAAATGGCAAGTGATATAATTTGCAATCCACGCGATAGACGGGTGCACACATCGATATGTTTTTAATATTGTTCAAGAACATGTATTTAAATATATCATATACTTTGTATATCTATATAAGATTGCCTTAGCGGAACACTCTCACCGAAAAGAAGCCCTCTACTGAGATCTATCAAGAAGAATAACACATGGATATTTGAAGATATTCCAATTAGCTTGGCTTAAAATTCGACAATAAATATAAAAAAAAAGCATACAAATTTGTTATAATAATAAAAAAAGAAATGCTTACATTGTATTTATGAAATATATATATAAAATATATAAACACATTTGTATACATACAAAAATTTAAAGGTACATGTGCCAAATAAACACGGACCCTATGAAGAGCCAAATGGGCTACCTGGACGTGGTTGTGCCGCCGGACATTGTCGATTACCAGACCAGCCAGGATGTGGTGCGTGCCAGTGGCCAAAATGTGACGCTCACGTGCAGTGCGACGGGCGTGCCACAGCCCACAATCACCTGGCGGCGAGAGGAGAATGCGCCGCTCTGGCTGCCAACTGACGATAACGAGCAGGAGCGCGAAATCTACAGCCTGGAGGGCCAAAATCTAACGCTGTGGCAACTGCAGCGCGCCCACATGGGCGCCTACCTGTGCATTGCCTCCAACGGAGTGCCGCCAACGGTCAGCAAACGCATCATGCTGGTGGTGAACTGTGAGTACTGTGTGGACACTCGGTTCTAGCGTGGTTTAATAGCAGCTGCTCCTCGACAGTTGCGCCCACCATTTGGACGCGCTACGATACCATCTATGTGGGCCTGGGTCAGAAGTTGACACTGGAATGCATTAGCGAATCGCAGCCCGCCTCGATCAATTTCTGGATCAAGGACAAGGAACTGCTGCAGGGTGGCACCTACGATTCCATGGTCGTCGATCATGTCCATCGCATCGTGATGCGACTCACGCTGCGCCCGGTCACCAAACGGGATTTCGGTGAATACAAATGCATTGCCAAGAATGCACTGGGCGAGACAGAGCGCAGCATAACATTACATCGTGAGTGGAAATGGACTTTATAGTGTATCTAATATAAGTGCTATATTTGTTTGCTCTTTTCTTTGCAGATAAGGCCAAAAAGCACGTGCAGCACTCGCATCAGACATCAACACGCGACAATCAGTTTATTGTCATCGAAGGTAGCTTCGGGCCCTTAACTATTTGAATTTGTCGTAACTTTAATATTCCTTTAATATTCCTTTTCAATCCCTTTCAGAGTATATTGCCAATAAGGCTTCCAGCAACGTATTACTTGACATTGGCTGGCGCACATATATTATAAGCTATGCGTGTATCATCATCTTGAGTTATGTCAATAAAGTCTTTTGTTCGTAAGCAATCAACAGATTTCTTTATATGGAAACCAAATAGTATTCTTTGACATATATTAAAGGTGGATATATTAAAAGTATTTATAAATACTATTTTGCAGTTTTTTATTTTATATTCTTTTACGGAATTCTTGATACCTTCTCGTGTGTATCTTTTTTAAAAAATTAAAATAATTGTAATATTCTTGCATTTTAACTAAGAGTATGTGTACTCTTGTCTAGAAAGCCAGACTAAGATTTACCCTATAAAAAAACACCAGCCTCACACCACAGCAAAAATAGTCGTCCGTAATTAGCTTCGGAGCTTACAGTCCGATCTTTCCATAGACTCAACTCAAACGTGTGTGTTTAACAAAGCGTAAGACATTCTTCTTAAAGTTTTTTTTTCATTTTAATAAATCAATGCAATATTAAATTTATCTTTGAGTATAGTTATTAGTTATATTTACAGGTCTCGCAGTAAAATTGGTTTCCACATAAATTTGAATCTGTTTACGAAATTTGGACAGAATATTACAAAATGTATGCGTCTTCCTTAAAACATTACTTACGCTTTTCTTCTTAACAAATATATATCTATATAGATATCGTCTGAGATGACCTTTTCTAAAAGTTACTTCGATTTGGGGAATCTTAGTAAACTTCCTAGAAATTGTTTTTAGAGCTTTTTATAAAGCTAATTTTTGATTAGATTCTTGCAAATGAATGAACTTTAATATTTTTGCAATCCTTGAACATTTTATGAACTTAAGTGCTGGTGCATGCTTTCTTTTAGCTTATGAGTTTCAAAAATGTTGGGGGATCAAGCTTTCGATTAGCCTTTTTCTGGTAATATATAACTTAATATTAACTGAAAAGTAAACAATCTTTGGGGGAAGAAGCATCAGCAAAATCTAACAGCTTTGCAGAATAATATTCAAAAACAACGATAAACCCCAAAAACGACTCGAAGGAACTGATCAACTGATCAAAATAAAGAATCAATTTCACTTTGTAGCTGCTTCAGATATTCGGATATAAATTTTTATGGTGCGTAGAAACAAACTACAAACTGAAATAGTGAAAATATCGGGCTGGTTTTATGGTGAACTCAATTCCAGGAGATTTGGGACTCTATGCTCCCTATGAAGAACATTATCACATTGATCTAATACTATGAAACATGATCAAGTTATTAAAACAAATATTATTATTCACTTGTATATTAATTTTAATACTAGAAATCAATAGAATCTTTGACGAGAGAACGTGGTCTCCTCCAGGGCTTATAGGTTCAAATTGATCAATTAAAATATCATAGAAATATACTCCATGCCACATTTGCAAGAAACCAATATACCCTTCCTAGCCAATTATCAATTCAGGGCAGTAAAACTTCATATGCTTTAAGAAAATATGAATGAACATTATGTACTCACGCGCTCTCTCTCTCTCTCACTCTCCCTCTCTCTCACGCGCTCTCTCTGGGATGCAAAAGTGCGCCAAAAGTAAAAAAGCTTTGCACTAAAAATTACATTTTACCACTTATTCAACACAATTTTCACTACTATCCTCATATGACACAACACACAAACTGAGTGCGTTAGGCACAGTAATAATATTAAATAATTGTAATATCAAACAGGAATTTAATTTATTTAAAACGATTTTATACACACACGCACAGAATACGACCGACCGAAAGACAGACGCGCACAAACTAAATTGCCAAAATACACTCGCGACCACGCTAAGCGGCCAGTCTCACTAATACAATAACAACTGAGCGGATAAGCGCTTTAGACCCACAACCGATATAACGGGATCAAAAGCATTACGACCAATAGCGTGCAAGCACAAGCTCGCTCTCTAGCGCAAATCCAAAACGTCAATGCTAGTGAACGGATTTTGTGACTGCGTGAGAAAATTTCCCATGCTTAACAAAGCACACCGTCTTGATAAATGCCCTAACAAGATAAGGCATGTTGACTGTTGCATTCAAACTAATTTGTATATACAAAAAAAATGACATAAGGGACAATTAATTAATATTAAGTTAAAAAGATTTTCCAATATATAATATATAGAAATACGTAAAAATGTTCTTTAAAAAAAAAGCTATTTCTTTTTTCGATAAATTCTTGCTAGTGTTATATGATATAGTTGCATCTGCTATCGTAGATGTCTGGAAAAAATTAAATAAAATGTTTTAATTAATTTTAAAAAATGATTGCTACTATATATTCCATATATTCCAACTATTTATTGATTAAAGGAAATAAGAAACTAAAATTCTTTGTTGCTAAAAAAAAAAAAGAAGAAATATTCAGTTTTTTTTCGAGTCAGTTTTAAAGCTTGACTTTAATTGATTTTTTTTTTATTTAAATTGTCTTGCCTAATTTAGTTTATTGTTTTGACATATGCCAACAATTTCTTACAACACGGAAAAGTAATTTGCATTAGGACAATTTTGCAATCCATTAAAAAATAATAGATTTCAATTTGTATCTTTTACACTTAAATAGAAATAATTTTCGCGTTTTTCTGTGATTCTTCAGACAATTTTTCATCTAACAACATTCACTTTGTTACATTTAAAATTACCTACAATTGGGTTTAGCTTATGTATATACAATTGTTTTATAGATTGAATCGA